ATATGTGTGTATATATGTATATATATGTATATATATATGTATATATGTATATATATATGTATATGTATATATGTATATGTGTATATATGTATATGTATATATGTATATGTGTGTATATGTATATATGTATATGTGTGTATATGTATATGTATATATATGTATATATGTATATGTATATATATATATATATATAGGCGCAGATAATTTAACTTGATCAGAAAGAGGAAAGGAAAGATGTTTTGTGTCCTTCATAACAGATCAGGCAGAGGCTGGGGTTATTACTTCACCGACGGCGGCAGCGTCCAGATGGAACAGAGCTGAATTGAAACACTGCCAAACGTTGCCCAACATTGTCTGCTATCTCAGGACATTTACAGCGCTGAATCATCTGGCCTTTGAGATGGACTTACTGATGCCTCTTTTTTTTTAAAGCTACTTTTAGCCTGTCATTTATGTTTTGATGCAAATAGGATATGCAAGAATATGAGAGCTCTGGATGTGGAAGTCAGGCTGTTATCTTGATGGTGGTTTTTATTTGAAATGTGATCAAAAAGAGCAGTGAGATATTAAAATACTGGTACTAAAGATATATAAAAAATGCCAAAGAGGAAGTTTGGAGGGAAGGTTCATTAACTGAAGGACACTTACTACAGGATGTCCTACATTCATTTTTAGGTTTCTAGAGGTTCCATCAGTCTTTTAGGAAAGAACCGAGTGTAACAGCTTCATGCATATTTAAATATAAAATCTATGTTTTCAGTTTGAATTAGCACTGAGAAATCCTCTTACCTCATTGTCCTTGTAGGCTACCTCTGCCAGGCTGCCTGTTTCCCCCAGCAGACTGAGATCCAGCTCACTTGGACCTGAACACAGGAAAAATCCAATTATTCACACATAACCCACTCAGGATTCTCTCTATTAGCTTGGCACTTTAGAAACCCGCAAACGGACGTTAAGTCATCTTTTAACAAGTATTATGTATCAGGTCATAATTAAAAAGATGTGGTATTTACCAGATTAAAATATTATTCAACTCGAAGTGCACAGCACACACACTAACTTTTATATATATATAGCTTATTGACCAAAGAAAAGTCCTTACAGAAAAGGTGTTTGGAAAAACAAAGTGCACTTTTTCTTCTTTTATTAGATTTACCAGATATTCACCTTATTGTTATAATCTTTAACACTGATTTGGAAGTTTCACTGGTCTGGAACATACAAGAATGATCCAAAACAATTCCAGGGTGAAAAGAAAACAGGGAAGCCTTTGAAGGGCCAGAACCGCATCCACCTCTTTAGGAGGCTGAGGTCCTTTGGAGTGACCAGATCCCTGCTTAAAACCTTCTATGACTGTGGTGGCATCAGCCCTCCTCTATGCTGTAGTCTCCTGGGCCCCTGGCTGCACAGAGCGGGACAAAAAGAGACTAAACAAACTAGTGAGAAAGGCCACTTCTGTCCTGGGCTGAACTCTGGACTCAGTGGAGGAAGTGGCTGAGAGGAGGGTGCTATCCAAGCTTACATCCATCATGGACAACACCTTCCACCCTCTGCACCAGACTGTGGAGGAGCTGAGCACCCCCTTTAGTGAAAGACTTTTATACCCTGTTTGTAAAAAGGTGCACTACCGCAAAGCCTCTGCACGTTCTGACTCATTCAATATGTGATGTCAAACGCGCCCATGTTGAATGGGTCAAACCACTAGCTAACATTTGAAGGGATATATTTGAGATGGATTTTGTGGATGCTGAGAAGCAAACGGCATACAGCTCAACTCAGGCAACGATGCCAAAACCATATAAAAATAACCTTGTCAAGAATGAGCTCCAGCCACAAACGTACATAAGGGTGCTGCAGTTCTGTTTTGGCCACAGGTGGCAGTATCATTAGAAAACTCTGTAGTGCCTCTTTAAAGTAGTGGGGAAAACAATGTGCAAATGGCAGAACAAATAACAAAACACAGGTGCCCTGGCTGAGGGAAAATGATAAGAAAGCGATAAACCCTGCAAAAAACACACAAAGACAAGAATTTCAGCACTATAGAAACAATAACTAGAGAAGGTAAAGGAAAACCGCTGAGAAAACCCAATAACAAACCAAATTAAAAAGCAAAAATATAAGAATGTGGCAAACCCTAAAAATCCAAAGCAAAATCACATAACCTGCAGGACCTGACAATTGGAGCCACACGATACAGGTTATTTACCTCATTCTGTAGGATGGATTATGTGTATTTGATCCTGGGATGGGTATACATGTCGACATGTAAGCTACAGATGTGCAAGCAAAACACTGCACATGAATAAAGCTAAGGATAGTTGCTTAAGTGTGAATGTGGCAGCAAAATACATCATCCTCACTAAAATAGATTAGCAAAGAAAGTGTAGATCCAAATGTTTGGTCAGACAGTAAAACAGAAACTTTGCTACTTCAAGCCTGATGATGAAGGATAAAAAAGAACTTCAGATTACAGCAGACTAAAATGGTCCCAGGAGGTCCAAACTAAAGAGTCAGCAGATTGTCAGAGTTCATCTGACTCTGCTGATATTACTCGGTCAGGCATGACAGCGTAGCAACATCTCTGGGTCGTGTCAGGTGGTGGGGAGCTTGTCAGCAGCACTTCAACACAGAACTCGTGCCGCTGCTGCTGGGATAATCAGAGAGGACGGCCCAATCGGAGGACAACAGTCTGGTTCTCTCTGGGGAACTAAAACTAAAATTTTACAGGATTTTTTGTCCTTTAAGGAGCTTCATCAAGTCTTTTATTTTCCTTCTCTCAAAAGATAAAATTTAAAGAGCTCATTTAAAAAGTGAATTTAATCTCTTGATACAGATTTCATTTTAATCAGCATGAATTTAAGTGAAGTGTTGCAAAAATATTCCATCTCCTTTTTTACTTTTGCATCTCTGAATTTAAATATATTGAAAGGATCAGGACTGAAAGGATCAGTTCAAATGGCAGAAATTTCACATCGCTTTTACAAACCTGCATGTAACAGTATTAGGGGCAGACAGCAGCTAATTATCTCAGACCTGAGGCAAAGATCAGCTTTTAACAAGGTATTTTTAACATTCAAAGAGTAACTCGCTTGTTTTGAAGAGATAACAAAATGGTGCGAATGTTTTTGGCTTCAGCAATAATACCCTCTGCTATCATCAATCAGAGCTCATGTGTTGCCATGTTGCTTAGAAAAGCAATTTCAAAGCATAAAAACAGATTATTCTAGACTGCTAATCAAAAACAAAAAGTGCATTTATTTGTAAGTTTTGGCTTGTGTCAAGATATTTTTGTGTTGGAGATAGTTGGCTTAGCTAAACCTTCCCTTTAGAAAGAAAATAACTGTATTAAGTGCAGGACTAGTTAAGTGCATCTGCTTTCAAACCCTGATTCTGTCTTCTTTATTTTTTTCTTCTCAGTTTTCAATGTTTATTAAATCCTTCAACAATTAAACATACAGTGGAACCGACGTTGACAATATTGGTGTTTTCAATTGAGATTTTTTATTTTATTTCCCTCCCCGTACTCCCCCCACCCCAGCCAGCAGAGGGGGTAAAGCAAGAGAAAATATAGTATATATATTAAAAAAATAAATAAATTAAGTGAATAGATATTGTAAATAAAAAAGTTCACACACACTTTACCTATTATTCTGGACCAATAGTGTTTGAGCCTTACCTCTCTGGTTCTAAGAACTGTTCCCACGTACTCTGATATGCTTCAGTCTCACCATTTATCTTGTGGATGAGTCGTTCGTAAAATGCGGTTTTTAAAAGCGCTGCATGCATTTCTGTATAGGTAGGGAAATTTTATCCTTTCCAGTGTCTTAATATAACTCACCTTTTCCGTGGTGAGAGCTATTTTAACTACTGTGCTTTTTTTTTTTATCCTATTTTGACATTATAATCTAAGAGTTACGAAGTCCCAATGTGGGTGTCAAAAGTAAAGTTGGACTTAAGGGTGCTGTTAATTTTCTACATAACCTACTGCCAATAACAAATTAGGTTCGGACACACGAGGAACATATGAAGCATGTCCGCCGGACTTTGTTTACATCGCCAGCATATCAGATTTACTTATTCTAGCTCTAAGTAATATAACCGGTGTCCAATATAATCGATTCAGAATTTTTAACTGGATCAATTTGGAGAATGCATCCCTCTTGGGCTTCAACATTTGTTTGACTATTGCAGCCCACTGTTCCTCTGGGAACCTTTTGTTTAATTCAGATTCCCATACCTTTTTAAGTCCTGTATAAATATTGCAAGTGTTCTTAATCAGGTGGTTATAAATATGACTTACTCATCATGGTGACTCTTTCAATTTATTAAGCATGGTGTATATTGCTGATTCTGTGGGTGTAGTTACCTCAGGTTTCTTTAATTTTGTGAGGCAATCCCTTGTTTGTAGGAACCTCCAGAAAGCTTGGTAGTTTAGATTGTATAATTCTTGAAGTTGTTGAAATGAAAGTAAGGTACCATTTAGGAAGAAGCAGTTTATACTGTCAATCCCTGTTGTATGCCAGCTCCTCCAGAAGATGATTTTCTCCTCTATTTTAATTTTTGGGTTATTCCACACTGAGGCTGCTCCTTGAGTGAAGGGACAGGTGTTTGCTTTTTTATGTAAATGCTGCCAAACGTTTTTAGTGCGAGTCATAATTGGACTGATTTGATTCCATCATTTGGATGTTAGGATAGATAAAGGCTTTAAATGGAGCATTTATTTCACCTTCCAAGTTCACTCAGGTCGGAAAATTGTGGTTGTTTCACATAAGCGATTGTAAAAGCTTCCTGATATTTTCATGATAGTTGCATATTGGGTAGTCGTAATCCTCCATAGTCTATTTTAGTTTGGAGTTTTATGAAAGACATTTTAGGCTTTTTCCCTCCCAAATAAAGTTGTTTATCATTTCATCCAGGGTCTTAAATATGTTTTAATGGTTTAAACGAGTTATTCCATAGTTAGGTGGTCCTTCTAGTTATGTGGCACTCTCTTTAGATAGTTTCATCCAGGGTCTTAAATATGTTTTAATGGTTTAAACGAGTTATTCCATAGTTAGGTGGTCCTTCTAGTTATGTGGCACTCTCTTTGGATAGTTTCTAAACGGTTAACCTTCAAAAAAACCCTTCAGCTATATTTACATCAAATTGTCCTTTGACGTGCTGCTTGTTTGGCATTTAATTGGCTGGATAATAATTTATCAGCTTTATTGCCTGATTCATACCATCTCTGTTTGATCCAGAAAAGAGAGTACTCTCCTTTTTTGAGAATATTGTATTTAGCTCATATTTAGCACTGACTAATTTAACAAAGATTGATGGGTTAATGTTTTCCAGATATTCCCTCTGCAATACCTTTATTTCATTTTCATACAGTTTAACTTTTGGGAATCTTGTATTTGATTAGAGAGGAGTGTTGTATCAGTATTCCCCTATTGTACACTTTAAACCATCATAAATGGAGTTTTGGCATGCAGTATTAGTATTGTTTATAAAGTATTCAGTAGTTGGTTCTTTGTGTTTTTTGCATAGGTCAACATAATTTAGTAAACTGGTATTCATCCTCCATCCCCTAGCCTTTTCTTAATGAGATCCCAATTGTAGGACTACGTCTATGGGGGCATGATCAGTTATTGCTATTGAACCAATATTGCAATTCCCGACACTTTAAAATGAGAGAGTGTGAGATCAAAAAATTGTTTATCTGACTATAAACAGAGTCCCTACTCTGAGAGGAAGGTATAGTCTTGTGCTGAAGTATTTAGGAGTCTCCAAACATCTGATAATCCAGCATGTTTGCTCAGAGCTTTAATCACTTCCTGGATTTTGCTGATTTTAGGAATTGATTTCCCAGATCTATCCAAAA